AAGTAGAAACTGACTTTAAAATTGTTTTTATTATATATTATTTGTATATTATCCGTACTCATCATCATACAGAATATGAAGTTTAATTAGAATGAGTGGATGTGTGAGTTTACATCTAAGGAAAGAACAAAAAGAAGAAAAGAATGAGAGAGTTCAGGAGGTTCACTTTAACCTTGAGTAATCGTAAAAGATGCTAAATTTAACCCGTTTGTTTTGCTTTCTTTCGCAACTCACGTGGGAAAAAAGAGGAATATAAAGACATCCCATTGTTTAGCATTGGCTTCCGGATCGGTATTAGTTGCCGCCGATACACTCTTGAGTATTTATCCATAAAGATCATTATTCACCTATGGAAGACCCAGGGCCTGATTATTGCCTAGGCCTAGGGTCCACACTTTCTGGGGGGGGGGCTCAAAAATTAATAAAAAGTTCACAATATTACTTTCTTTAAAAAAAAAACAGTTTTTCTCAAAAAAGGCATTTTTTATTTCAATTTTTCTTTATACTGTGATAAACGAAACTCGTTTAAATATTGCACTAATCAAATTCGAAAGTACAGCTGAATTTTAATGAGTGCAATGTTTATTCCAACAGCTTGAGCAAATGCAACTAGAATGCTTATTCGCAATAAATGATTAGTGTCAACATGAACTAAAAGCTTATTCTTAACAAATATGTAAAGCTGTAGATGGGGAAGACTACAATCTTTAAAATAATTCAGCTAATCAGTGACTTTTAGCAAAAATCACTGATTTCAATTGTTTGCGGTCACCAAACTTTTCTTTTTATTTTCATACAACATTGTTTTGTTGTTTTATATTTTGCTTTAATATTTCGATGCGCGAACTTTATCTTTGAAAAATTATTTCCAATTGTCTGCTTTCAAAATTTTTTTGAATGTTTCTCTTGAATCATACATGCAATTTAATAGATTTTTTTTATTGTTAGGACTACTCATCAGAAATTTAATTTCAAAATAGTTTGTTAGGGGCCCAGAAAATTTTTGTAAAATTCAGCTCTGTTCACAAATACAGTGAAAGCTCGATATAACGAATATGGATATAACGCGAAATCACTATGACAACATAATTCAAGCTCCATATCAAAATGCTAACATTAAAGATGGAAAAAAACTAGCCTGTCGCTATGTCGATAAAAATATTCTTAGAAATACATTTTTTTTATTTATTTATTTACATATATATATTTTTGCTGTTTAAGTGAGCAATAAACATACAAAAAAAATTTTAGACAAAAAAAAGGTTAACATACAAGAAAAAGTTTAAATAGAAATCATTTTTGTAATTTCTAGATATCCCGCAGTGGACTGATTGTTAAGACACCGTTCCCAGCAGATCACCGAAGTCAAGCATCACTAACTGCCGTTAGCGTGCAGGTGGGTGGCCACTTGGATCAGTCTGCGTAGGGACCGAGGGTGAGCGATATGGGTCCTCGTTAAACTGTTCTACCATAAAGCGCTCGACTTCGCATGCAGGTCTTCAGTCTACCGAAGCGGGGGTGCCATCCCCTCTGCAGAGGATCAAAAGTGTGATGGTATGTCTTCGTTTCATCCTCAGGGGATGCTTCTTAGACCGTGCCCATAGCCCATTGTGCAGCTCTAGTGAGACGTAAATGAACTACTAGTTCTAGGTATCTGTTTGTATTTCTGGTGCTTTGAAGTCCTCACTTTAAACGAGTCGCCTAGCTTAACGTTCGTAATGTGATCATACAGTTTCATCGGCTCTGTTATTTCGCAACAATGATGAACTAGACGGTAACCTTGTGTGTTTTAATCCAGTCGATTCTTTTGATCCAGTTGCGGAGTTCTAAATTGTTAAAAGGTTACTTAGTTTCAAATGAACGTTGCTTATCCTCTTTATCTGACATATGTCAGATAAGCTCCTGGACCACACTGAACGCGAGAAAATCCGCAACAAAAAGAGGATTAGATGTAAGATTAGCTTAGAAAGGCAAACCACAATATGTTCCGGCGAAGATGCTTGAACACAGCATTTTTTTGCAAGTTTTCTGCCTCCCTGAGAATTTACGCACTAAAGATGGCCACTTACAAATCTGGCCAAAGGTGTCTAGGTTCCTCGGTCGCATTTTATGTCCAGACGGATGTAGATTTTATTTAATTTCTTTATCAGAATTTTATAGAGACTGATTGTGATCGGTCTGTCTCGTTAATTTAAAAAGTATCGAAAACAAATAATTATTCTAAATTCTATCAATTGAATTAGAATAAAATTATAAAGATTGGAGGATTAGCAAGGCAACTTGTATCAAATGTTTCAAATTTCAACTAGAAAAACGACAGTTGCTGCTTAAGATTGATATTTCATAAAAAATTACTAGCGTTTTGTAACAGAGTTTAGAAAAAATAATGAATTAGTATGAACGTTTTTTTTTAAAAAAAATAAGTGTCAACAATATAAATCAAATGACCGGAATATTTCCTTATCGAGACACATTGCCAAATGGATGCAAAAAAAAAAAAACAAAAAAAAAAAGAAATGAAAAAAAGAAAGAAATCCTTATTTCACTCGAAAAACTTGGTGCGTAGGGGGGAGTATGGCTACGAGTCAGACCCTCGACCTCGTTCCCTCCGAATTACAAACGGACCTACTGTGGCCGGGATAGCCTGATTGGCAGGACGTTGGACTCGCGTTCGAGAGAACGGGAGTTCAAATCCAGTCGGCAGAAGCATCCTCGCGTATTAGATGGTGACTGGTGCACGCTAAATCTGTCGGGGTCACAAACTACTCCAAGTTCTAATAACAACGCAATACCTCTGGGAGTACTGATCCAGGAGTTCCCTCGTCTTCAGGATTGCGTTCAAAAATACAAGGCTACGGAGTTAAACATCGTTAGTCGTAAACTCAAATTCGGGTTAGCTGTTCAACTGCAGTTACAAAATACAAGAAGAAAAAAATGGGTGCCCTTTCAAATAAAGGAAGGAAAAAGCAGCATTTTCGGCACATTTTTCACTTTCCTGTTACCGAAAATGTAAAAATGCTTGAGAAAGAAGAAAAATTATACTATGTGGTATGGAGATGACAGTACGCTAATGCCAAATTTTGATTCGACAAGATTAAGATATATGAAGATGTACTACGTCACTTTTTAGATTGATGAAAACACAATAAAGGCATCCATTGAATAACAACTCGTGATATCGCTGACAGATTAAATTTGTCGAGAGGTCATTCGACATTTAACAATTATTCTCAATTCTATTATTTATCTCTCTATTATAATTCTTATATAATTAGATGTATTCTCAATGCTCGACACATGAAAAGAAATTTATGCCGTCGCACAAGAGGTCATGCAATTTACAGATAAAATGGCGAATGAACAATACAAAATTCAATAAAATATTCATTCACTACAAGAAAATCGTACTGTTCTCACTATTTCATATTGTACTGATATTGTACTTCATATTGTACTCATATTGTACTGATATATTTTGCTTTGGATATATTAATACAATATTAGAAAGCACTTCTTTGCGGATAAATTGTGTGAGCTGATGACGATATTATATCTTTTTGTTATTTTTTCCCCGACTTTTTAATTATTTTTATTTTTAATTTTTAATAAATTTTTAAATATTTTTTTAAAAATATTTTATTTATGAATAATTTATCTTCACTTTCAAAAAATTATGTATTTTTTCTATGTTGTTTATAATTTTTTTAACTTACAGTCCCTGGCCATATTATTAGGCGCACTATAAGATTCTACGTAAAATTATAATTATCGTTTGATACTCTACAGCATTATTGTTTTGAAACCGGTTTAAACTTGTTTGTGTTCGTGTGTCAATGGATTAACATTGTATAATGCAAATACGTTAAAAATAAATACTAATAGGAAGTGTATAAAAAAATCATCTGAATAGAAACCTATTACACGCATGTTTAAATATAAAAGCGTTGCATATAATTTCGTGTAACAAATGCAATTATAAGAACACTGCAGTGCTTCTCATCATCGGGTCTCATTATTATAGTATACTAATATACTACCTGATATAATAAATATTCTATATTTATATAATATATCGTCTGATTTATCCAATCCTCAAATTTATATAATATATCGTCTGATTTATCCAATCCTCAAATTTATATAATATTTCGTTTTATTTAACCCATTGATACACGAATTGATAAACAAGTGCAAATCCGTTTCAGTCGCGTAAAAACTATAAAGCTGTATAGAGTATCACCAGATAATTAATGTTTTACATAGAATCTTAGAGTGCGTCTCATCATTTGGCCAGGGACGGTATTTCATGGACTTTAAGTATTTGCAGCTTAAGCGCAGTTAATGAAACTTATTATTTTTCTTAATTTTCTTCCCTTTTCTTTAATTCTTTTTAGTCTTTATTGTAATTTTTATATCTATCTATCTATGTAAATATCTTAGATAGATAGATATACACCGAAGAGCCATTACATTATGACCACCCTCCATCTATAACAATGGGCTCGCCCTGGTTTTCATGGTTTCTCGCCCAGGAGCAATGTCTTCATGGAGCACATTAGGACCCACAATCCTCATAGAACAATCCCTGACGTCTGTAAGCTACTTGAACATAGTTCACCCATTCATGGCAACAGTTTTTCCTGCGGGGGATGGTGTTCACCAACAGGATAATGCACCGTGTCGTAAGGGTCGAATCGTCGAGGAACATTCCAGTGACTTTCAAGTCATGTCTTGGCCCCCAAATTCACCTGACCTTAATCCAATAGAGCATTTGCGATCCTACTCGGAAAACCAAATTCGTGCTGCCACGATAGGGAATTGCAGGACCAGTTGGTGAGCGCTTGGAACCAGATACCTCAGACTAACTATCAGCACCTTGTGGAATCAATGCCACGGCGGATGCTGACAGTTTTGAGAGCTAAAGGTGGTCCTACATGTTATTAGCAGGGGTGGTCATAATGTAATGGCTCTTCGATATATATATATATATATTTACTCACCGTGGATTGTTTCTTCGAATAGATACTGAAGGGTTTTGTGGACGTTCTCGTTGGCCGATGCGTCCCCTATAAAAATTGAAATAACAATCAATAAAGTAATACATTCAACTCTTTTAGATTCAAAATTTATAACGCTTCCAAAGAAAACGTTGTTTTATTTGTTTAGACGTTAAAAACGTTCGTTTAGATATTAATAATTAATAACTATTATCATATAGTATAATTATCATATAGTATAATTATCATATAATATAATTATCATATAATACAATTCATTTAGATATTAATAATTAATAGTTTTTGGTTTTCATCAGTTTAAGGACGGACCCCACCCAGAATATTTCAAAAATTCGAAAAAAATTTTAATTGCATTTTTCGAATCTTTGTACCCTTCCTAATGTCTGTCTAAAACGATTTCTCGTTACCTAACTTCATTTGGAAGTTATACCGGAAAATCGAGAGTCGTCGCTAAGCATGTAGAAAGATCCGTTCGGTCGGATTAGGAGGGGCGACATTCTTTTTGTGTCTCATCCATTCTGTTGACGGAGAAGATATATGGACCTGGAATTTCAGAATAAAGGTTAGTCATTGCTAATTTAATAATTTACTGGATTGAACATAAGTCAAAACTTTAAACGCGTTTTTCTCAAAACGCTGGTTTTTGACCTGGCCTAACGTATTTCTCATGATCTATACAACGAAATAAGCTGTTCTTTATTTTAAATTACGTAAAAATATATTCCTTAGAAAGTAGCATAGGATTTTTTTGATATTTTTATATTTCGATTTTATATTAGCATTCTAATGAATATTTTTTTAATGAAAAACTTAACTTTTTTTTAAAGTTGCCGCCATTTTGGTAATTTTGCGAATATCAAAAAACAGCTAGGCTACTTCTTAGATAATGTCTTTACTTTTCAGAAAATCTAAACAATATCGTTTTCCTATGTTTCAGGACTTCTAAATCCATGAGGCCAGTGAGGTGCTACTTTTGGATGACCAGCCACACACGGAGCTGACACCAACTTATTTTTTATTATTTGGTAAAAGAAATTTTTTAAATTGACTTAAATTGTAGCTAAATAACAAAAAAAAAATCAAGGAATCTCTGCATTGTCTCTATTACTTAAAAGAATTCAAGAAAAACTTTAATATTTTTCCACCTCAGGGTGGTGTCCCCCCTTAAAATCAACAATAGTCATAAAGATATCGTTTTCCTATTCATTTTATTCTCGATCATGTTTCATGTTCTCCCCGATAGAGGGCAGTATTTGACTATTTGATGAGGTCGTTTTAACTTTTGGTAAAAGAACTTCTGCTGATGTTAACTAAATTGCGCAAATCCACATCTCAATGATCAGGTAATTGCATATCAATATTGGATAATTTACCAAGAGGATAATTTTTTTGCATATCTTCATCTGATATTTTAGAACACGAAAAATACATTTTTTCCACAAAAATACAGCACAAGAATTAATTCAGAAAAACTGAGTATGCCTATTATATATGTTAACGGCAAAGTATGAAACGCTGGCATTCTATAGAATGCCTGTATATAATGCCGGAAGATTTTTGGCAAGGTATGAAATATGAGAAGTATTACATACTTTCCCTAAGCATTGTATATAATACCTAGGTATTCTATAGAATGACAAATGCTATTTAGGCAAAGTATGAAAAAAACGTCCTGATGAGGATATTATGTAAATGATGGGCATTTCTCAAAACAAAAAAAATAATTATTCCGAAAAAATAAAGAGAGTGCCATTAAAAAAAGTTTATTCAAAATGCGTAAAGAAAAATGAAAGTTGTATAAAACATAATTTATGCCTTTCTTATTAAGGGAAACAAAATTTTCATATAAAAAATAAGACATTAACCTGCTTGTTGCAACATTTCATTACATTATAAAGCACATCGGAGATGTATTTTATACTTCGCCTGTTTCTCATTTGGCATTCTATAGAATGCCTAGGAAATGTGTGAAATATAAATAGTTCCATACATTGCCGGCTAGTTTTAAGCATTATATACAATGCCTAGGCATTCTATAGAATGCCGGATTTCAAACTTAGTCGGTAACATATCGCTCATTTGGTGAAACAATGACGTCACTGGTAATTACTTTAATTATCAGTGACTTCATTGTTTCACCAAGTGAGCGATATACAAACAAACCCAGGACGTCAAAAAAAAGAAATAGCCACGTCAATGCTATGACGTCAGAAGAGGACCTTTATACTTCCGGTAGGGTTTGTTTGCTTTTTTAGGATAGAAGATGAATAAAATATTTTTGTATGCCTATTTTAATAGAGAGTGCCTGTTTCACCAATCTGTTTATAATTATGTACCAATTGTCTATAATTATAAATTATTCACCAATCTGTTTACAATTATAACTAGTTAAAAAAAATTCTAACACTCGGAATCTATGTGACCTTTTCACGGAACCCTAGTGATCCACGGAACACCATTTGGGACCCGCTGCCTCAGGGGCGGATTAAGCGTAGGCGGGGCCCTGGGCCATTAAAATTTTTGGGGTCCTATTAGATTAAATTTTTTTCTCGTATATTTTTTTTAATTCAAATATGAAAGTATTTATATATCTCTTCATTTAAGAGAGCATATTTAAAATAAAAATAAGGAATAATAATAATCATAACATTTTGAAAAAATTTAAAAAATCATTGTTTTTCTTAATTTATTTTCAAAAAATCCATTATAAGGGGCCCCCAAATCATTGGGGGGCCGCAGGCCATGGCCTAGTCTGGCCTAATGGGTAAACCCGCCCTGCGCTGCCTAACAAAACGCTGAAAAAATAACGGGGACAATTTTCACAACTGAATATTAAAAAAAAAAAGTGCAAATACACCTGCTCCTTGAAAAAGCTTTTTTCTTCTTCTTCTTTCAGTTTATTTATTCTTCTCATGAGTTGGAAAGAAAAAAAGCTTTTCTCGACAGTTTTTTCCCCCCCTCTATGACGTAACAATCTCGAAGGGGAGAGGGGGGGGGACGCAGGAGGATGTTATATGAAACGTTAACGCTTACGTGATTTTCAGGAGTCTTCTTAACGAAGTCGGAGAAACTGATGTCTCACAACGAGAAGTCAAAAAAAAAAAAAAAAAAGAGCTTTTGTTTTCATTTCCATTTCGCGATCCCCCCCCGACATCGTCAAAAGCGGGTTGCTGTTCCAAAATGAGGTATTATATCCTGGAAACCTACTTCAAACGGGAAACCAGGACATATTTATTTTAGACATTTGTGCCTTCTTCCCCATTAAGCCTCTCTCACAGTTACAAATAATATTATTATCTGAATGTTGGGAAAAAAAAGCGAGTCATTTTCATCATCACAATGGATGATGTTTCCTACACTAGGGTGCACTGCGAGCTCTTTTACCGCCTACACTTCCGGGTTACATGTTTCCGGAAGCCATTTGACTCGAGTTGTATTTCTTGTACGTGCGTGTACTTGTTACCTGATCTATTATTTGTTTTTAAAAAAAAATCAAAATAAAAAATAATATTTATAGAAACCACGTTTTTGTAGTGAAGAATAATAATTAAAAAAATAAGAATTTGAAAAACGCGGGATGTATGAAATACACAACAGTAATGTTATATTAGTGTGTGTATGTGTGCTCATGAGAATATGCATATCTGTGAATGTGTATGTGGAATATGTTTGTGTATATGCATGTGCATGAGAATGTATATGTGGATGTGTATGAGTAAGAAAATGTGTATATGTAATGTTATGCATTTCATGCGCCCCACGTTTTTCGTTTTTCACATTTTCATTTTTTAATTAAACTCAATTTTTTCATTCACTGTACACAAAATTTTTCAACTGACATGTGACACACATTTGAAATAATCGAATCGACAACAAAAGACAATCGCGAAAATATTAATTTTTCTTCAATTTTACTTTACTTCGTATGTCTTTTTCTCTTCATTTTCATGCATTGTCATCCAATTCTGAACTATGTGCCAAATTTGAAGTCTGTAGCTAGTCGGGAAGTTAGTTGTTTAAAATCGATTACAAAATTCCACCCGAACAGACATACACGAAGACAAGTTAATATAAACGTGGTAAAGAAAAGAATCGTTATGAAGAATTGTCATTTGAAGACGTAATAATCGTCCTTTGAAAAAAAAAAGAATAGTTATTGAACACTTCTTACTTTACCAACAGTATACCAAATTTAAACCTAAATGATAATTTGTAAAACGAACCTAATCTCGAACAATATACTAAAACTAAATGGCGCATGGTTTGCCACAAGAACAAACAGTAATAACCAAGTAAGACGAGACTCAATCGGGACTGCTGAAAGATGGAGCATGTCACCTTTTCTTAGTAATGCATTTATAAAGAACTAAAACAAATTTTCACCTTAAACTCACCAGAATTACTTCATATCACTTCATATTACTTATGAAATACGGCAGATTTGAGCTCAGAAATCATTTATTTCTTTTATTAATAACAAGATTATATATTTTAAAATATAGCCACGTAGATTAAGATGATGCAGCAATCTGTTGTATACTTTCTAACCGGAATTAGAGCAAGTCAAGAGCACGAGATTGTTGTTGTTTACATTTATATTGAAAACGCCATCATATTATTTATAATTTGTGCTAAAAATCATGAGATTGGGATTTTTGTAAAAATTAAAATGCAATTAAAACGAACAAACACTATTTTTCTTAGCGACGTGGTTCGAATCGCATCTTAGTGTCCCCCAGTGGTTTCAAGTTGAAGAACGTTGATGGATTGCATTTTCAATATAAATGTAAACAACAATCTCGAGTTCTTGGCATGCTCTACTTCCGGTTAGAAAGTATACAACTGCCTATTCTGCCAGGCGATATTTTCAAACGGATAATATCGTTTTCAGTAAAAGAAATGAATCATACAATTTCCGAACTCAAATCTGTTGTATTTCGTAAGATATTAATGATATTAAGTCATTCTGATGAGTTAAACTGCAGTAAGCAGCTGTATACTTTCTACCCGGAAGTAGAGTAGGTCAATATAGGTAGAGCAGGACATGG